TTTGTCACCACCAGGCCTGCTTTACAAGAGCTCCTAAAAGAGGCACTACACATAGAAAGGATCAACCAGTACCAGCCATTCCAAAATCACACTGAATGCTAAAGAGCATCAACATAATGAAGAATCTACAACAACTAACAGGCAAAACAGCCACTTAGCATCAAAATGGCAGTATCAAATTCACACATAACAATATTAACCCTAAATGTAAATGGACTAAATGCACCAATCAAAAGACACAGACTGGCAAATTGGATAAAAAGCCAAAACCCATCAGTGTGCTGTATCCAGGAAACCCATCTCACATGCAAGGATACACAAAGGCTCAAAATAAAGGGATGGAGGAAGATTTACCAAGCAAATGGAAAGCAAAAAAAAGCAGGAGTTGCAATTCTCATCTCCGATAAAATAGACTTTAAAGCAACAAAGATCAAAAGAGACAAAGAAGGCCATTACATAATGGTAAAAGGATCGATACAACAAGAAGAGCTAACGATCCTAAACATATATGGACCCAATGCAGGAGCACCCAGATACATAAGGCAAGTTCTTAAGGACTTACAAAAGGACTTAGACTCCCACACAATAATAGTGGGAGACTTTAACACTCCACTGTCAATACTAGACAGATCTACCAGACAAAAAATCAACAAGGATATCCAGGGCTTGAACTCAGACCTGGAGCAAGCAAACCTGATAGACATTTACAGAACTCTCCACCCCAAATCCACAGAATACACATTCTTCTCAGCACCACATCACACCTACTCTAAAATTGACCACATAATTGGAAGTAAAGCACTGCTCAACAAATGCAAAACAACTGAAATCATAACAAACAGTCTCTCAGACCATAGTGCAATCAAGTTAGAACTTAGAATTCAGAAACAGACCCAGAACCGCACAGCTTCATGGAAACTGAACAACTGGCTCTTGAATGTTGACTGGGTAAACAACGAAATGAAGGCAGAAATAAAGAAGTTCTTCGAAACCAATGAGAACGAAGACACAACGTGCCAGAACCTCTGGGACACATTTAAAGCAGTCTCTAGAGGAAAGTATATAGCAATAAGTGCCCATATGAGGAGAATGGAGAGATCCAAAATTGACACCCTATCGTCAAAATTGAAAGAGCTAGAGGACCAAGACCAAAAAAACTCAAAACCCAGCAAAAGACAAGAAATAACTAAGATCAGAGCTGAGCTGAAGGAGATTGAGACACGAAAAACCCTTCAAAAAATCAATAAATCCAAGAGCTGGTTTTTTGAAAAGATCAACAAAATAGACAGACCACTAGCCAGATTGATTAAAAAGAAAAGAGAGAACAACCAAATAGATGCAATAAAAAATGATAAAGGGGAAATCACCACAGATTCCACAGAAATTCAAACCATCATCAGAGAATATTACAAACAACTCTATGCACATAAACTAGTAAACCTGGAAGAAATGGACAAATTCCTGGATTCCTGTGTCCTCCCAAGCCTAAACCAGGAGGAAGCTGAAACTATGAATAGACCAATAACAAGGTCTGAAGTTGAGGCAGCAATTAAGAGCCTACCACACAAAAAAAGCCCAGGTCCAGACGGGTTCACAGCCGAATTCTACCAGACACACAAGGAAGAGCTGGCACCATTTCTTCTAAAACTATTTCAAACAATCCAAAAGAGGGAATCCTTCCCAAATCATTTTATGAGACCAACATCATTCTGATACCAAAACCCGGCAGAGACCCAACGAGAAAAGAAAACTTCAGGCCAATATCCATGATGAACATAGATGCAAAAATCTTCAATAAAATATTGGCAAGCCGATTGCAACAGCAAATCAAAAAACTTATTCATCATGATCAAGTAGGATTCATCCCGGGGATGCAAGGCTGGTTCAACATACGCAAGTCTATAAATGTAATTCACCACATAAACAGAACCAAAAACAAAAACCACATGATTATCTCAATTGACGCAGAGAAGGCATTTGACAAAATTCAACAGCCCTTTATGCTAAAAACCCTCAATAAACTCGGTATCGATGGAACGTATCTCAAAGTAATAAAAGCTATTTATGACAAACCAACAGCCAATATCATACTGAATGGGCAAAAACTGGAAGCATTCCCTTTGAAATCTGGCACTAGACAAGGATGCCCTCTTTCACCACTCCTATTCAATATAGTACTGGAAGTTCTAGCCAGAGCAATCAGGCAAGAAAAAGAAATAAAGGGTATTCAAATAGGAAAGGTGGAAGCCAAATTGTCTCTATTTGCAGACGACATGATAGTATACCTAGAAGACCCCATTGCCTCAGCCCAAAAACTCCTGAAACTGATAAGCAACTTCAGCAAAGTCTCAGGATATAAAATCAATGTGCAAAAATCACAAGCATTCGTCTACACCAATAGCAGACTTAAAGAAAGCCAAATCAAGAGCGAACTGCCATTCGCAATTGCTACAAAAAGAATAAAATACCTTGGAATACAACTCACAAGGAACGTAAGAGACCTCTTCAAGGAGAACTACAAACCACTGCTCAATGAAATCAGAGAGTACACAAACAGATGGAGAAACATTCCATGTTCATGGTTAGGAAGAATTAATATCGTGAAAATGGCTATACTGCCCAAAGTAATTTACAGAATCAACGCTATCCCCATCAAGCTACCATTGACTTTCTTCACAGAACTGGAAAAAACCACCATGAACTTCATATGGAACCAAAAGAGAGCCCGCATAGCCAAGTCAATTCTAAGCAAAAAGAACACAGCGGAGGGCATCACACTACCGGATTTCAAACTATACTACAAGGCTACAGTAATCAAAACAGCATGGTACTGGTACCAAAACAGAGATATAGACCAATGGAACAAAACAGAGGCACCGGAGGCAACACAACATACATACAACTATACAATCTTTGATAAACCTGACAAAAACAAGCAATGGGGAAAGGATTCCATGTTTAACAAATGGTGTTGGGAAAACTGGCTAGCCATGTGCAGAAAGCAGAAACTGGACCCCTTCCTGACACCTTACATCAAAATTAACTCCAGATGGATTAAAGACTTAAACATAAGACCTGGCACCATAAAAACCCTAGAAGAAAATCTAGGCAAAACTATCCAGGACATAGGAGTAGGCAAGGACTTCATGAACAAAACACCAAAAGCATTGGCAACAAAAGCCAAAATAGACAAATGGGACCTAATCAAACTCCACAGCTTCTGCACGGCAAAAGAAACAGTCACTAGAGTGGATCGGCAACCAAGAGAATGGGAAAAAATTTTCGCAGTTTACCCATCTGACAAAGGGATGATATCCAGAATTTACAAAGAACTCAAACAGATTTACAGGAAAAAAACAAACAAGCCCATTCAAAAGTGGGCAAAGGATATGAACAGATACTTTACGAAAGAAGACATATATGAGGCCAACAATCATATGAAAAAATGCTCATCGTCACTGGTCATCAGAGAGATGCAAATCAAAACCACATTGAGATACCATCTCACGCCAGTTAGAATGGCGATCATTAAAAAATCTGGAGACAACAGATGCTGGAGAGGATGTGGAGAAAAAGGAACACTTTTACACTGCTGGTGGGAGTGTAAATTAGTTCAACCATTGTGGAAGACGGTGTGGCGATTCCTCAAGGCCTTAGAAATAGAAATTCCATTTGACCCAGCAATCCCATTACTGGGTATATATCCAAAAGACTATAAATCCTTCTACTATAAGGACACATGTACACGAATGTTCATTGCAGCACTGTTTACAATAGCAAAGACCTGGAATCAACCCAAATGCCCATTGATAATAGACTGGATTGGAAAAATGTGGCACATATACACCATGGAATATTATGCAGCAATCAGAAATGATGAGTTTGTGTCGTTTGTAGGGACATGGATGAATCTGGAGAACATCATCCTCAGCAAACTGACACAAGAACAGAAAATGAAACACCGCATATTCTCAGTCATAGGTGGGTGATGAAAAATAAGAACACATGGACACAGAAAGGGGAGTACTAAACACTGGGGTCTATTGGGGGGAAAAGGGGAGGGCAACTGGGAGGGGGAGGTGGGGAGGGATAGCCTGGGGAGAAAAGCCAAATGTGGGTGAAGGGGAGAAGAAAAGAAAGCACACTGCCATGTGTGTACCTACGCAACTGTCTTGCGTGCTCTGCTCATGTACCCCAAAACCTATAATCCAATAAAAAATTAATTAAAAAAAAAAAAAAAAAACCACAGTTTGTAATATGCTATATTTTAGAGGAACATTTATAAAAACGCTTTTATATCTCATCTTCCCGATGTTTTGAAACTAAATTATATTTTCCAAAAGTTTTGCACATATATATGGAAATTTATTAGACTGAATTAGGTACAGAATAAAAATAAAAATAGCCATTCTTTGAAATACCTATCTGAAATACCTTCATTAATTTCTCCTCATACATATTCTCCAAATGTTTTGCACATATATATGTGGAAATTTGATTAGACTGAATTAGGTACAGAATAAAAATTAAAATAGCCATTCTTTGAAATACCTATCTGAAATATCTTCATTAATTTCTCCTCACACATGATTCATCTAAAATGTTACTTCTAAACCAGGCATGGTAACTAAGACCTGTAGTCCCAGCCAATCTCTCAAGGTGAGAGATCACTTAACCCCCAGGAATTCAAATCCAGCCTGGGCAATATAATGAACCCTCGTCACTTTAAAAAAAAAAAAGTCATTTCCTTGTCCATATTTTTGCTGAATACTAGACTGAGTTATTTCTTCACATAAAACTTCCTAATATATCACTTAACATCTAATAAAAATTGTTTATTGTGTTATAGATACTGTGTATGTTTGTAGATGTGTATGCCTGTATACACATATAATCTTTTACTACTACATTGAGCTGCTGCATTAGTCCGTTCTCATACTGCTATAAAAAACTGCCCAAGACTGGGTAATTTATAAAGGAAAGAGGTTAAATTGACTCACAGTTCAGCATGGCTCTGGAGGCCTCAGGAAACTCACAACCATGATGGAAGGCGAAGGAGAAGGAAGCAAGGCACCTTCTTCACAAGACTGCAGGAGGAAGTGCCAAACAAAGGCGGATCACGAGAACAGCATGGAGGAAACAGCCCCCATGATTCAATTACCTCCACCTGCTCTCTCTCCCTTGACATGTGGGGATAATGGAGATTACAATTCAAGATGAGATATGGGTGTAGACAAAAAGCCTAGCCATATCAGCTCCTAAATGGCAGAGGTTATTGTTTTTCACTAACCTTGTTATCTCTAGTGGCAGTACTCATGAGTTTATTACATTAACAGATTTTGAAGACATTCTACATAAATACCATGGTGCTAGGCTATGAGGTAGACTCAAGTGGTTTTAAAAAATGGTAATTTTTAGGCTATGTATTTATCATGAAACCCAAACTTTTATAAACCATCTTCAGAATTTGGATAAATTATACAAAAAATAAACTTATACCGAGAAAGAGATTACTCTATGATTCAAAGATTCTCTTTATAGATACCAGTTAGTCTCATGTGGACAACATCAGGCTTATTGCTAGACTGAATGATTTCCTTTGAATTACTTTAGAGTCTTTGGGAAAAAGGTGAAGGAAATTTCTTACTAGAGGATGTCTCCAATATAACTGAATTTATTTTGCATCTCCTAAGTATTGACTCAATCTGATTGTTCACCTTGGTCCCAGATTGGTATTTAAAACTGTATCTTGTCTAATAAAACTGTTTTGAAAGTGACTAAGTAAATTTACACTCAGAAAAGTGCTAGTGGTATTCTCAAAGGCACAGTGGTTGTTGAGAATAAGTCCACCCTTTTTCTCTGAACATAATTGTTAACAGGTTTCCTGTTTTTTTTTTACTGTACTTTACCGTAATAAATTTTAATGCACCAAAGGTGCTGGAGCTGATGTCTTCAAAAAGTATTCATAATAGAAGGAGTTGATGCCTGTAACAAACATTCCAATGTTCAGTGTTGAGTATTCTGAAGGAGCCACAACTGCTGCTACTGTCCAATAGAGCTTGTAGAGAAACAGTTCATTTGTTTGCCTTTCTTATTTATTTTGAGAGAGTCCATAGGGCTTATACAGAAATAGCTCATTTGTTTGCCTTTCTTTTATTTTTATTTATTATTTATGTATTTATTTTTAGAGACAGAGTCTCACTCTATCCCCCAGACTGGAGTGCAGTGGCACAATCCCAGCTCATTGCAACCTCTGCCTCCCAGGTTCAAGTGATTCTCATGCCTCAGCCTCCCGGACAGCTGGGATAACAGGCACCTGCCACCTCGCCTGGCTAATTTTTGTATTTTTAGTAGAGATGGGGTTTTGCCACATTGGCCAAGCTGATCTCGAACTCCTGACCTCAGGTGATCTGCCTGCTTCAGCCTCCCAAAGGGCTGGGATTACAGGTGTGAGCCACTGCACCCAGCCTGCCTTTCTTTTTTAAATACGCCTTTTTAGAGCAGTTTTATGTTCACTGCAAAAGGTTTCAATTTTTAAGTGGTAATTCCTATATGATATTTGATCTTGGAAAACTTAATATGAAGTCTCTTATCTAACAGGAAAGGGATGAAGGCTGTATTTCTTTTTTGGATGACTTATCTTTACTTTGAATATAAAAAGCCATAGGCTCAAAAACACAAAGAGATACAACTACACACCTACCAGGATGTCTATTTAAACAAGGAAAACAGTAAGTTTTGGTCTGTTGTGGAGGAATTTGAATCCTCCTGCATTGCTGTGGAAATACAAAATGGTGCAGTCACTGTCGATAACAGTTGGGTGGTTCCTCAAATAATTAAACATGTAATTACCATATGATCTGTCAATTCCACTCCCAGTTATATATGCAAAGAACTGAAGACAGACTTACACAGGTATTTGTATATCAATGTTCACTGCAGCATTATTTACAATAAATAGCCAAAAGGTGGCAACAACCTAAGTGTGAAAAGTGCATAGATAAACAAAATGTGGTATATGCATACAATGGAATATTATTCAGCCATAAAAAGAAATGAAGTAGTGATAAATGCTACAACATAAATAAATCTTGAGGGTACTGTACTAAGCAAAATAAGCCAGATGTAAAAGGACAACTACTATATGACTCCACTTACATAAATATCTAGAATAGGCAAATTGATAGAGACAATATAAATTAGTGGTTATTGAAAGCTGGGGGGAGAGAGGAATGGAAAGTAACTGTAATGCATACAAAGTTTCTGTTAGCTATTGTGTTAGTGTGTCTTCATGTTGCATAAGGAAATAACTGAGACTGGATAATTTATAAAGAAAATCTAAACAAATTTCCTCATAGCAGAAGGTGAAATAGGAGCAGGCACATCACATGGCAAGAAAGGGAGCAAACGGGAGAAGAAAAAGGTCCCACACGCTTTGAAACAACCAGATCTTGCCTGAACTCAGAGCAATAATTCACTCAACACTAAGGGGATGGCATCAAGCCATTTATGAGGGATCCCATCCCATGATCAACAACTCCCACTAGGCCCCACCTCCAACACTGGGGACATTTCAACAAGATCTGGAAGGAACACACATCCAAACCACATCAGGTATAATGAAGATGCTTTGGAAAATATTGTTCAGTAACAAAAAGAAATGAACTATTAAGCCGCAAAGACACAGAGGAACTGTAAATGTACCTCGCTAAGTCAAAGAAGCCAATCTGAAAAGGCTACCTCTGGCTACATTCTGAAAAAAGCCAAATGATGGAGATGGTAAAAAGATCACTGGTTGTTAGGGGTTGGTGGGGGTGATAAAGAGAAAGAGGAAGGGATGAATAGGTAGACACAAAGGTGGTTGTAACAGTGAAACTCTTTTATGATAGTGTAATGGTGGATACATGTCATTATATATTTGTCAGAACCTATAGGATATATTTGGCTCCTCGGTTTTAACAAACATGTCACACAAATGCAAGACGTTAATAAATGGGAGAAAGACAGTACATGAAAGCACTCTATACTTCCTTTACATTTTTCTATAAACTTAAAACTTATTTTAAAAAGTTCATAAATTTTTTTTTAAGTTTTAGAAACAATGTGATGATTGCACAACATCGTGAATGTAATTAATGCCTGATTTGTATGCCTGTAAATTGCTAAACTGTAAATTTCATGTTATATATATTTTGCCACATTAAAAGACAAAGCATTCCTTTTAGTTTTAATAAGAAAATAATCCTGTGATTCTAGTGGGGGAAATGGTAATAGTGAATCACATTCCAATGTAGAAATTGATGAAAATCTTCATGGAAAAAATTCTCACCAAATATTACTCCACAATAATAATGAGATTTAATTTTATTTTTTAATGCTCCCATGTGAACAAAAACAATATTTTGAAGGATCTCTGGTTGCAACAACATGGAAAGCCCGAGCTTCCAGGTAGTTCCTCTTACAACTAAAAAATACAGAACACAACACAACAAGAAAAGCACAGGACACTGTTGAAAGATAGAAAAAAAAAAAGGCTGACTCCCTAGGGGCCTCACAATTTGAGAATTAATATGGCAATGAGTCCCCTGCATCTCCTCATTGCCTCCCAAATACCCCAAACAGGGTCATACAGAAGACTCCAATGTAGAACCACCAAGAGGCAAAGACAAAAAACAACAACAAAAAAGCTTCAAGAAAAGCCTGCTCCTAACTAGCAAAGGAATGAGCAGAAAAAGGGTGGGCAAACAGCAAAAAACATTTTTGGCAATATCTGCCTGACTCCAGGAATCATCAATGGAAAAACAGCTTTACCGCCCACTTTTGGCAGGCCAAATGGTACATTAAATTTCCACTCCAAAAACCTCTAACCTATTCTGTCCTTGCTGGTATCCTAACTTACCCACCAACAGCCAATCAGGAAATCCGGCAGGCTAATTTTCCATCATCTGCCAGATAGGCTGGGGGACTGTCACTGAGACAGAAGCAGGCAGAACTGATTTTACATTTCCCTCTGTGGATCGCATGCATTCCTCTAACTGATCAGTGTATACATGGTGCAGCAGCAAGCTAAGCCTCATCCTGATCCAGCAGTAAGGAGATTTATTAAGAAGGAAATCCAGAACCAGGCATGGTGGCTCCTGCCTGTAATCCCAGCACTTTGGAAGGCCGAGGCGGGCGGATCACCTGAGGTCAGGAGTTCAAGACCAGCCTGGCCAGCATGGTGCTGGCCAACATGGTGAAACCCCATCTCTACTAAAAACACAAAATTAGCCAGGTGTGGTGGCACACACCTGTAGTCCCAGCTACTTGGGAGGCTGCAGCAGGAGAATCTCTTAAATCCAGGAGGTGGAGGTTGCAGTTAGCCAAGACCATGCCACTGCACTCCAGCCTGGGCAACAGAGTGAGACTCCATCTCAAAAAAAAAAAAAAAAAAAAAAAAAAGAAGAAGAAGAAGGAAACACAAAGCACAGCTAATAACCACTGTGCCTGTTGTTAGTAGGGTCATGGGGCCCAGTAAAGATTTGAGCCTGAACTCCCACACAACAACAAAAAGACCCTACAAGTAGGGGCTAATTAGTATTCTGCTTTCCTCCTACCCCTGGTGTCACTGATCCCAATAGGAGCTGGGTCTCCATACCTACCCAGAAGTAAAGAGACTTGTGAAAACTGATTATGCAAAATGGAGATTTTTTTTTTGGTCACACCCAAAAAAATAGAGTGGTAGGAGTCTTAGGGAAAAACATTCTAGGAACTATCTGGAAAGCCCAATCCAGAACCACAATAGCCTGCCGTGACTTTAAGATTATAAGGTTTAGCTAGAAACTGCCACTCACCAATCAGAATTCACCAGCCCCTGTAAGACACTGCCAACACTAATGAAATTTCAAAAAAGGTTACATAAGCTTTCTCTGTTCCCCCAATAATTCTCCTTTGTTCTTCAGACATACCTAAGGGCTACCCCAGTTTGTATGTTCCAAACTGCAATTCTTGTATATTATTTCCAAATAAAATCTTTGCTTGGAGACTTGTCTCTCTCTCTATATATATTTATTTTATGCTGACAGACTGAAGAGGCAGTGTCAAGCAGGGCTACTCAGCCTTCCTATTCTCTACTCCAACCATCAGGATCAGCAGAGCCCAGAAGGAAGCAGAGTCCCAACCCACTCTGAACCAATGCAGCCAAAGAAGGTGAAGAAATGCAGAGCTGGTGGGCACTCCACTTCCCCATACTTCTCCTGGTAGCAGTAGGCTCAGCAGGAGACCGATGTTAAACCCAAACCAGAGGCAAACAGGGAGGTAGACCACTTTCTCAAGTAGGCATCAGTGGGCTAAGGAGGTGAACATGCACATCCTGTCTGCAAGGGCAATGCAAGTCAGTGTCCCACTTTGCTGTGGTGGTACTGGGGAAAAGGGCAGGTAGTCAGAAGGTGAGTATATACTCACCCAGCCCTCATGTTCATGTTAGACATCAACAGGGGTCCTAGCTGCTTAAAAAATAAAAGGAAAAGAAAAGAAAAAAAAAGATGCAGACCATCATAATATCCAGAAATCACTGTCATCCCAAGAACCAGGAAATCATACCATGAATGAGAAAAAACAACCAACAGATGTCAAAACTAAAATGAATCAAATGTTTAAATTATCTGACAGAATTTTAAAGTAACCATCAAAGACATGTTTCAAAAAAACTTCAAAATTCTTTTTAAAAATGGAGAATCTCAGCAAAGAAACACAATTTTTAAAAACAACCAAATAGGAATTATAGAACTGAAAAATATCATAACCCAAATGAACTCGATGGATGGGCTCAACATTAAGGTGGAGATGACAGAGAAAATCTCCAGGCTCAGATGGTTTCACAGGAAAATTTTACCACACTTCTATCAGATTTAAAATAGAATTAACACCTAATAAGGGTTCAGTACACATGCTTCCAAAATAGTTTAAGCTGGAAAAATTTGAGAAAATCTCAGAAGCAGGCAGATCACTCTTACCTTCCTCCTGCTCTTCTTCCCTGTCCCAGGTCATAAAATCTAGAAAGGATTTTCTCACAAACCCCTGAAGCAAGCCATAAGACAATCATTTGAGAGGTGTCCTTCTTATATTCAGAAGAAAGGAACATCCAGATCGCTGATGATTTAGGTTCACAGAAAAGAATCTGAATTAACAGACATTGCTATATTTCCTCCAGTTTGTTACCACTAGGTCATACTTTTGAATCCAATCATATACACACTATCTAACAGACATTGCTATATTTCCTCCAGTTTGTTACCACTAGGTCATACTTTTGAATCCAATCATATACACACTATCTACTTCTTTATCAAACCTAGCATTAAAAGAACACAGGTTTAGCCCAGGAACAGGGTATGCCCTCTAGAAGCCCCAGCTACTTCAGTTGTTGAGGACAGTGGATACCTTGAACCCAGGAGCTCAAGTCCAGCTTGGGCAACATAGTGATACTTTGTCTCTTAAAATAAAAATGATGACTGGATGCAGTGGCTCACACCTGTAATCCCAGCACTCTGGGAGGCCGAGGCGGATGGATCACCTGAGGTTAGAAGTTCAAGACCAGCCTGGCCAATATGGAGAAACCCTGTTTCTCCTAAAAATACAAAAATTAGCTGGACATGGTAGTGGGTGCTTGTAATCCCAGCTACTCAGGGATAAGGCTGGAGAATCACTTGAACCCAGGAGGCAGAGGCTGCAATGAGCTGAGATCGCCCCACTGCACTCCAGCCTGGGTGACAGAGCAAGATTCTGTCTCAAAAAAAAAAATGACAACCCACACACAGATATACCATTCTTCAGGTTTCTTTCCCTTATAAGGGCTATGTGCCACATAAAACTTCTATTATATAAATGTATCTTTTCTCTTGTTAATCTGTCTTTTGTTATATGCGTTTCAGCATGAGCCTAAGATGATTGAAGAAAAGACGTTTTTCCTCCCCAACACATCAATTTTACACAATCTGTTCCAGAAAATAAAGGATGAGGGAAAACACCTGATTTTATGACTATTATTAATTACTCTTACATGAAAATACTGTACAAAAAGACCAAAGGAAAGTACAAAACTAAAAAATGACAGACCAATTGTTCTCATGAACTTAGAGGCAAAATCATCAACAAAACATTAGCAAATCAAGCCCAGCAATAAAGAAAAATAATTACAGCAGTTCCCCTTTACCATGGTTTCACTTTCTGAGGTTTTAGTTATCTACTGTCAACTAGGGTCAAAAAATATTACATGGAAAATTCAAGAAATAAACAATTCATAAGTTTTAAATTGCACACTTTTCTGGGTAGCATGATGAAATCTCACTCTGGCCCACCCAGGACATGAATCACCCCTTTGTGAAGCATGTACACACTTCTATAGGATACCTGCCCATTAGTCACTTTGCTGCCTTCAAAGTTATCCTATCAACTGTCACAGCATCACAGTGGTTGTGTTCAAGTCACTTTTATTTTATTTAATAATGATTCCAAGGGCAAGCGCAGTGATGCTGCCAATTCCAATTCGCCAAAGAGAAGCCATAACATGGTTTCTTAAAATGGAAAGGTAAAAGTTCTTCATTTAACAAGGAAAGGAAAAAAATCTTACACTGAGATTACTAAGACCTATGGTAAAAACGAATCGTCTATTCATGAAATCAGGAAAAAGGAAAAGGATTTTCTTGCTAGTATTGCTGTCCCACTTCAAACTGCAAAAGTGATGGCCACAATGCATGATAAGTACTTAGTGAAGGTGGAAAAGGCATTAAATTTGTGGAAGATAATGAACAGAAATGTGTTCTAAGTTATAGCAATCAGGTTTGGTACTACTTGCAGTTTAATGCATCCACTGGGGGTCTTGGAATGTATTCCCCACATATAAGGAGAGACTACTGTATATACAATAACCAGTGGAATTTATTCCAGGCATGCAAGCCTGTTACAACATATGTAAATCAATCAGTGTAATCCACCCTGTCTACAGCCTAAAGATATTTATATGATCATATAAATTGATGCTAAAAAATCATTCAACATAATTCAACATCATTTCATGATTAAAAAAAAAAACTCTCAGTAATGCTGGTTCTCACCTCTACTGTACTCATTGCGGACCTCAGCACTTACCACCCTTAAACAATGGTATTCATTTTTATAGGTAATTTGAGTTCACTTCATTGCAGACTTTTTGTTCTTTTAAATAGGTAGAAAAAGAGTTTATTGTATAATGAGCCTTTAAAGTGGCAATATCATTGGCACCCTACTTCCCTTCCTTCCTCCCTCCCCCGTTCCCTCCTTCCTTCCTGGGTTCAAGCCATTCCCTGCCTCAGCCTCCCGAGTAGCTGGGACTACAGGGGCACACCACCACACCCAGCTAATTTTTTTGTATTTTTAGTAGAGATAGGGTTTCACCATGTTGGTCAGGATGGTCTCAATCTCCCGACCTTGTGATCTACCTGCTTCAGCATCCCGAAGTGCTGGGATTACAGGCATGAGCCACCAGATCTGGACCACTAGCCTTTTCTTAGAAAGAACTTAAAAAAATAAATAAATAAATGTGAGAGATCATTTAGTTTGTCTTACTTACCAAACAAAATTATATGGGGCAAAAGCAAATTTTATGAGAAACACTAGTAAGTAAAATAAAATATTTCAGATAATTAATGTATCATTTAGTGTTCTTTATTTTTCTCCTTACCATCTTCATAAATCACAAGGTTCTAAGTCTTAAATATAAAACAAAACCTTTAAGACAGTCTCTAAAATGAAAAATATAATTTTTATTATGAATATATTTCATGTTCATTTTGGTTCAACTAATAAAAAATGTTAATGTTCTCATCAATCCAAGATTTCAGAGAAACATGGTTCCCCTATTAAAAAAATTAAGCCTCAAGGAAATTCATGAGCCAATCCTATTCACTGGACCAAACCTATAGAGGAAACCATAAGATGGGTGTGAGTAAGGAAAACTGTAGTTGGTATTTATTTGAAAAGGTAAAGTAGGATTTCTGTATCAATCCCCAAGGCCAAAAGACCACCCAAGGACATTTTCACTGGTCAAAGCTTAGAAATCAAAGAGGAAGTCCTCACCACCAAAGAAAACAACACTCTTTCCAGTAAAATTTATTTGTGAAACCAAGAGCCTTACCTTTGAGACCCCTTTTTTACAGAGGAATAGCACAATTGATTTTATTTTTATTGGAAAGCCATTAATAACCCCACGTTCCTTGATGTCCCAAGTTATATGTAACACAACTGGCCACTTTCAATAAGCATAGGATTCAAAACCGTTTCTGAAAAGTTACCATGTAAAAATCCCTTTAAAAGCATAGCAAAATTTAAACTTTTTAACTTATCTTCCCTTTGGAACTAGGCCAAAGGAATGTCCCACTGCATGCAGACCTGGGG